ACATCGGGCGCGTTCAAATTGTTGGAAAACGGAGCGCCTGGGAATTGGTATTGTCGGGTGTGTTGGAGAAAAGTGAGGCGGTCAGTGCCTGCATCAGGTAGAAATGACACATTGTACAGTGTCACTCGTGCTGTGTGTGTCGTGTGTGTGCCGTGCGGGTTGTGTATGTCGTGTGTGTTGCCAGGTACCAGGAAGCAGCTCGAGGTCGCCGTTGATGATTACCCACGACCGAGATTGTAGCTCCAGTTCGGGGTTGCTGGTAAATCCCTTTCCCCTCTTCTCCCGCGCCGCGGACTGGTGTGCAATGACTCGCCGCGAGTCAGACACAAGCCCGCCGCCACCACCAGAAAACAGTCGGGTGTGGAAGTACCTTTCTCGCAGCTGCCGCTGGCGCCGGGTCTGCGGGTGCCGGATCTGCGGGGGCCGGGTCTGCGGGGGCCGGGTCTGCGGGGGCCGGGTCTGCGGGGGCCGGGTCTGCGGGGGCCGGTGGCGGCGGCACAGGCGCGCTGCCATTGACCGTGGCGTTACCCATCGACGAGCCCACCAGGCGCACGTCGCCCGCCGTGACCGAAGACGAGTCGTAGAGGTTAAGGTAGACGGAACTGGGCGAGCCGCCATAGCCCATCGAGTTCGGAGTGTTCTCTGCATAGACGTTGCCTCCGCGGCCGCCGATGATGGTGATGGCGCCCTTGCCGTCGCCCACCACCAGGTGCGCTCGGCTGCCCAGGTCCAGTTGGGAGTCCTCGTAGACGCTGCCGCCGCTGCCGGTGCCATTGACCACGTCGCCACCAGCGCCGCCAGTGACGGTCACCGAGCCTGCGACATAGTCACGAACAAATCAGTGCTGAGCAGTTGCAGAAGAAAATCAGAGGCACAAAGTCGCCGTGTCGTGTGTGGCGGTGCAGTGGCGAGCCGTACCACCGACGTTCACGAGGCTGTGCTCATAGATTTTGAACACGGCCGACCCGGCGTCACCGCCATTTGAACCGCCGCCGACGACCGAACCGCCGTTGCCGCCCTCGATCACGACCGACCCGTAGACGTCGAGCGTCACGCCGCCGCTCACTGTGTGTGTGTGTGTGTGTGTGTACGTCACCACCACCAGAGAAGCGACAATGATGGTGAGCGCGTGTGCGCAGACTACCGCTGTGCGCGAAGAGGAATAGTGCACAAACCTGAAACGATAGAAACGACGGCGCTCTGTCCGCCGCTGGCGCCAACGCTGCTGCCGGCGTTGCAACCGGTGACGAGGAGGTCGCCGCCGATGATGATCTCGCCCTCCCACACGTTCTCCACCACCAGACCGCCCATGTTCGGGTTCCAGTCATTGTTGCTGTGGTATTCCAAGGTGCTCTGGCAACTGCCGCCTGTGATTGGTTGTGGTTGGGTTGGAGTTGAGTTAGTTCGTGGCGACGACGACGAGGCGGCGGCGGCGTAGCAGCAGCACAACGTACCTGAGTAGCCTTCGTAGGTGGTTGAGCTGGGCGAACCGGCGCCCACGGTGAGGTCACCGCCCACGCGCACATTCATGTCACCCGAGCCGGCGAAGTAAGAGGAACCCCTCTTGTTGTCGCGAGCGCATCCCCTCTTGAGACAGGGAACGCTGTTCACGACAGTGCCCTGATGCACGAAAAAATGAGAAGAATGCGAGAGTGTCAGGCCGCGCTGCAAACTATTGACATCCACTCGAGGAGGGGGGGCGTACGAGATAGAAGCTGCCGGCGTAGGCGTTGGAACCAACCGCGGCTTGGCCGGCCGAACCGGGGGCCACGAGCAGGTCGCCAGCCACGTTGATGCTGCCTCCGCTTATCATCATCACCTGCGCTTGGCCTGCAAGACGCCAACAACAACGAAAGATGAGTGAGACCGACCTCTGGTTGAAGTGTGCGAGCCCAGTCGGGCAGGCCGTGCTGTACCTCCGTCGCCAGCGTAGGCCGTAGCGTTCATGGAGTTGTTGCCGCCGTTGCCCCCCACGATGTGCAGATTGCCGCCGACCAACACGTCGCCGCCATAGCCGATATTGAGCGAAGAGCCGCCTCCCCGACCTGTTTCCCGCCAACCAACGTCGTCATAATCGGCCCAAGCTCGCACAGTGGTGGGCGAGGGCTCACTGTCAGCGTACCAGCCGTCTGGCCAAGGCCAGCGTCGCCGCCGTGACCGGCCTGCACGATGAGGTCCTTGGTGGCGGCCAACTGGCTGCCGAAGCCCAGCTGCACGTAGGCATCCTCACCGCTCTGTCCGTAATAGGTGCTGCGCCAGGTCCACACGCCATTGACATGCATGAGCTTCCTTGCTTGAATGCGCTTTCAGGGGTGTTAGGGGGATACCTGGGTCCGGGATTGCCGCTCTGCACGGTGATGGTCGACTGCGAGCCGTTGGCCAGCAAGAAGCCCTTGACCAGGTTGATCCAGGCCTCGCCGGCCCTGTAGCCGTATTGGCCGCTCTCATTGCGCAGGCCGCTCACCGAGCCGGACTTGACCGTCACCGAGCCTGTCGTCTATGGTTAGTGCTTTGGCCCGGCGTGCGTCTCGAGAATGAAAGCGAGAGCCAAAGAGCGAAGCCAAGAGATCCCAGGGGGGGGGGGAAGAAGCGCACCGCCAACGACGAGGGATCCCGTTTCATACTCCGCGGGGTCCCGCCCATTCTGAACCAATTCGAGCAGACTATCGCCGGTGGAAATGGACGCGTCGCCGGTGTCCGCGAGGAGGCTGTCGCCCGACTGGACCAGCAGATCGCCGCCGATGACCACGTCGCCGCCGTCAAAGTAGAGGCTCACCTCGCGCGTCGAGCCGGTGGTCGAGTTGTCGGTGAAGTCGCGCGTGGTGAGCTTCACATCACCGCCCACCTGGTGTTCTTCTGTGTGTTTTGTGGTGGTGGTGGTGGTGGTGGTGGTGGTGGTGGTGG